TGAAAGGGGTTGTAAGCACTTTGAGAGCAGGATTTAAGCACCTTGACAAATTGGAGAATTGGTATGAATTCACCAAGGTGAAATTCAGTAAAGATAAGTGCAAAGTACTTCAGTTAGGAAGGAAAAATCAAATCTACAACTACAAAATGGGGAATAACTGGCAGAGAGGTTGTACTGCTGAAAAGGACCTTGGGGTTATGGTGGATCATAAATTGAATATGAGCCACTATGTGATGCTATTGTAACAAAGGCTGCTATCATTCTGGAGTGTATTAACTTGAATGTCTGTAAGACATGGGAGGTAATCGTCCCGTTCTACTCAGCACTGGTGAAGCTTTTGCCTACTGTGTCCAGTTCTGGGCCCACAGTTTAGGAAAGATGTGGACAAATTTAGGAGAGTCCAGAGGAGAACAACAAAAATTATAAAAGGTTTAGAAAACCTGACCTGTGAGGAAAAGCTAAAAAATATTAGGTATATTTAGTCTTGAGGAAAAAAAGATTGAGGAGGGGCCTGATAACAGTCCTCAAATATGCTAAGTGCTGTTATGTACAGGATGGTGATCAATTATTCTCCATGTCTACTGACGGTAGGACAAGAAGTAATGGGGCTTAATCTCCAGCAAGAGAGAGACTTAGTGTTAGATATTAGGAAAAGCTTTCTAACTATGAGGCTAGTTAAGCTCTGGAATAGGCTTCCAAGGGGATTTGGAATCCCTGTCCCTGGAGGTTTTCAAGAACAGGTTGGACCAGCATCTGCGAGGGATGGTCTAGTTTACTTGGTCCTGCCTCAGTGCAGGAAACTGGACATGATAACCTCTCAAGGTCCCTTCCATTCCTACATTTCTGTGATTCCGTTGCTTCAAAGTGCAGCACCATGTAGAGAACATTATATTGTTTGTCAAGGGTCAGAGATGAGATTAATTATGGCAAAGTCCAGATTGGAGTGTAAATGTTTCACTTTTCTAACTAGGTGCAGATGGAAAAAAGTGCTTTGGCATCCAGGAACAGCCCAGGTTGTAATAAAATACTTAGATTATACACCAATGTTACAAGTGGTGGTCATATTACCTCTGACAGTGGCACTTCACTAGCTCTTCTGGCTGCTTTCCCCAACCCACCAACATCATCTCAGTCTTATTCAAAATGAATCACGGGAACTAACCAAGTTTGTGTAGGCACTAGGTAATTTGTTCCACTGCACCATCTGGATCAGACTTGATAGAAACAAAGAGCTGGGTTTCATCAGCATATGGAGCACATTGCAGTCCATGTTTCTCTAATAACTAATCCTCCAGTGACACCTCTTAGGAAGAAGCTTTTTCCATACACATCAACAACAGCTTCTGATCCATAGTGTAAAAGGCTGCTAATAGATGTAAAAGAATCAGCCTGAACACTTTTTAATTGTCAGTTTCTAGGAGGAAATAATCAACTAATGCCACCAGCACAATTGTTGTCTCATGCTCAAGCCTATATCTGATAGAGCTCATGCAAATTTGAGGACTCCCAAAACTCTCATAGTTTTCTGGCTGCAACCCGCTCTATGACCTTTCCCAAAAAAGGGAGATTGGAAAGTGGTCAGATGTTAAAATTGTTAATGTCAGGAGTTAGTTTACCCTGTTAATCTCAATCAGCATGGAATCCAATACACCTCTACCCCGATATAACGCGACCCAATATAACATGAATTCGGATATAACGCGGTAAAGCAGTGCTCCGGAGGGGGGCGGGGCTGCGCACTCCGGCGGATCAAAGCAAGTTTGATATAATGCGGTTTCACCTATAACACGGTAAGATTTTTTGGCTCCCAAGGACAGCGTTATATTGTATCTTAACATTGGCCTTCACCACCTGAATGGTTTAATTAGTGATCATGGTGTAAGGATGATGAATCTTCAACTCAAATGTATTGGCCAGACAGCAGGCGCATTAGTGTCTCAAGGAAAATTTGAAAAGGGATGCCTTGGTGTCTTCAATAAAATATAAGTGGCAAAATTCCCTTTGACTTCAGTGGGAGGAGGATTGGCACCTAATAAAATGTCCCAAAAACTTTTAAAATGTCCAAATAACTTCTCCCAAGAAGAACTATTAATAATACCATTAATGGCATGAAAATGGTTTCTTGGGTGTACTGCAGGAGATACTACCCAGAATAGTTGCATAGGTATGTTCTTAGTAACAGATCATATAGCAGTTTCCTAAGAAACAAAAGTATACTTGCGTGGCTAGTTCTACTTTCCTTTTGTGTTGGAGATATGCAGGAGGTAATTAGAGGAGATTGATGACACACAAGTTGATTGGGTTCTTTTCGAAGACACACCTGCAGTACATATTTTCATTATCCATAATCCGAGGGATTTCCCTGCATGTTTGTTGTCAGGTAATTTCTCTTCTGAACGTTTAAAATGCACTCTGATGATGCTGACTTTTTCAGTATATTGCTCAGGTTTATCAGGGACTAATTTGGAATACATTTCAGAATAGTGCATGACATACCAGGAACTGAATACACATAGAAGCCTCTATCTGCTGAGGATTTTCTAGTGATTACATTACAAAAAGCTTGCCATTAAACACTAATTCAAAAACTGGGCTAAAATATGTGTAAATCCACTGATTTCAACTGAGTTTCTCTTTTTCTACATCAGCAGAAAAGAAAGCTGACTCTAGCACACTGCATTTGTTGGTGAAAGGGACATTGTCAACTTCCAAGCCACATTTTTGTCTTTAATTGTTTTACTTGCTATTGTTACAATAATCTCAGCTGTAACCTGTAACTGAAAGCAATGAGAGGGAAAATATTTTTTCTCTATTTTCGTAGTTTTCTTTCTATATTTGACAACTTTTTGAGTGTAGTAATTTCTGTATCTGTTTTCCTGTCTAATCAGTCAGTTTCCTCAGTTATTTGTGTGGATTTTTCAGAAAGCACAAGAGAGAGAAAAACAACACCCCACAAAACCCAAAACGGGTGACTGTAAAACCCAAAACAACGTCACTGGGGACTCCAGGTCACATATAGTCTGAAGCTACTTTTAAAAATCTGATTAGATTTCACATTGACAGCATTCTAGCCAACATAGAGTGGTAGACAGTGTTACTTACAGATGCTGCATGATCTAGTGCATGAATCTGGTAAAACTACAAAGCATTCCACAAAGATAATGCTGTGCCATTCCCTAGTTTCAAACAGCCCTATTTAGTACAAAGCCTCCCCTAATCTATGCAACTGCCATGTCCTATGGCTTGCTAACCTGTGCAGCTGCAAACCCTACTCCAGAGCCTGGCAGCTGCGCCATAACGCCATCCAGAACTGCCTGGTGAAAGCCATCGCACCATGCCTGGGGAGATCTCCGTGAACTGCGCCATCCCTAGTACCGACAGCCAGCTCCGACCTGAGATTGTCATCACCGACGAGGCCCAGAAAAAGATCATCCTCGTCAACGTCACGGTCTCCTTTGAGAACTGGACCCCGGCCTTTTGCAAAGCCCGAGCTCATAAGCTGGAAAAGTACGCCTCCCTGGCCAACACCCTGAGAGCGACGGGCTATGAAATGTAGATGGATACCCTGATCATCGGAGCCCTGGGTGCCTGGGACCCCTGCAACGAGCGTGTGCTGAGGACCTGCAGGATCGGTTGACGCTACGTGTGGCTCATGTGGCGCCTCATGGTCTCAGACACCATCCGATGGTCCAGGGACATCTACATTGAACACGTTACCGGCCACCGACAGTACCAGGAGGCGTGAGCTGGAGTGACATCGCTCTTTGACTACAAGAAAGGGACCGAGAGACTTTGTCCGTTGGACCATATGAACTGGAACCATAAACTCACTGAACATTAAATCTCACCAAATGAGGGTCAACCCATCCTCATCATCGTATCCACTCATTATACTCCACACCTAAACATAGCCATTATATGAACTTCATACCCTCATATCTCAATGTCTGTACTTTGACCTGTCAACCTTTTATCCCCAATCGGGGATATTGCAGATTATTTATTCCTTATGCCACCCGATTTTAAAATGAACTTCACAGCCCTTGATAATCTGTACATTATTCCCTGATAATCAGAAACTTCTATGCTTAAACTCCGTACCTTTCACTTTTTTTTTAAAACATCATCTTAATAAAAATTTTAAATCTATTGTTATTCATGTTATATGCCACTCATCCCTGTATGCAGTGGTGTTGTAGCCATGTTGGTCCCACAGGATACTAGTGAGAGACAAGGTGGATGAGGTAATATCTTTTATTGGACAATCTTCTGTTGGTGAGAGAAAACCTTCTGAGCTTACACAGAGCTCTTCAGACTGGTCTGATGCAACTATGATTTCCCTTTGGCTACGAGAGTTGGAGAGATGCTCTTTGATCAGCCATTGGGTGACATTTCTGACATAGCAAAGTTCTCTATTTTACCTGCTTTAAAAGCTTTGTGTATGCCTTACAACCAGAGTAGTAAGCAAATATATCAACAAGAATCTCTTATTTAATGCTTTACATTCAGAGATCTCAAATCTGTTTACTAAAGAAGCTAAATAGTGTTATTCCCAGTTTGCTGATGGGGAAACCGAAGCACGGAGAGGCAACGTATCTTGCCCATGGTTATGCAGCTGGTCAATGGCACAGCTGAGAATGGAACCCAAGTCTCCTATTTTCTTTTTAAATGAAATAAAAAAGCGGTACCCAGCTTTGAAGCTTCTGTCAGATTTTGACTGACCTACCTATTTTTGTCAAAAATGTTCAGTTTATACTGTGAGTTTAAGAGGGGCAGAAGCTGTGGCGTTTGTTCAATCATAAGAAAAGAAAAATGTAATGGAAAGCATCTAGTACAATGTTAACATCCCTTGAAGCTGTTGCAGCAAATATTTCATTAAAGATATCAAAGGCAAGAGACGATAGTGAAGTGAGAGGTTTAGGTTTTTTTGGTCTTTTTTTAAAAAGCTAAAAAAAAAAAATCCTGTTAATTTAATCTTTTTTCTTTTCTCCTCCTTCTAGGAACTTAAAGAATTTCAAAACTTTGTGGAAAATCATCCTCCGTATGATATTGTGATAGATGGACTCAATGTTGCTAATGTTTCTAACAAAAGGAGCCAATCTCAAACTGTAAGTGCGGGTTAATTATTCATAAGGAGTTTCACTTTTCAGTACACTTAAGTGAGCATAAAGCAATCAGTGCCTCGTTTTATTACTTACCCTATCTTGCAAGTGATTGGCAGCATTTTTGTAGCACATGTTAGAGAAATCTTTTGAATTTGAATATTGAATATGTTAATGCAAATCAGTCAGGAGAAGATAATCATTGTAATGCATAACACTAGAGAAGAGAACCCCTGCTGGTCAGTTTCCTTGTGTAGACGGGAACTTGATGGCAGTTTAAATCTATATCCTGTACAAGAACTTTCTTTCACTTCCTGAAGATTCTCACAGTCTCAGGCTTGATCTACACTTGGGCGTAATTATGTCATTAAGGGGTATGAAAAAATGCATCCCTGACCAACATAGATATGCTGACAAAATGTCTAGTGTAGAGGTAACTGGCCAACAGAATAAGTGCTGTTCTGTCAGCATAGCTAGTGGACATGAGTGGCAGGTGAAGTTTCCCACAGCCCTGCCTCCTCTGATGGAGGCCCCACCCCTGCTCTCAGCCCCCTCCCAATGGGGAAGAGGGCACTGAGGGCTCGGTCGGGCCACGGTGTAGCTCATGACCCTGGCTGGAGCTCTGAGCCCGGAGCCCCTCTTTCGTTTCATCCCTTCCCCTGCAGCCCCGTCCCCATTCCACCTCCACTCCGCCTCTCCCTTCCCCCTCAAGGCTCTTCTCCACCCCCTGCTTGCTCCTCTTCCCCCTCTGCCGTGTCTCCCCCCTCCCCCGCGCTGTGGCCCCGAGACCAGAAAAGCTCTGTGCCGTGGTGGAGGGAGATTTTTCCCCTTCCCACCTGGCGGCTTGAGGTTTGGGGAGGCTTAGCCTCCCCCAGCCTCCATTATGCACCGCCCATGCTAATGGAGGTGTTCCTACACCGACAGACAAATGCCTTTTGTCAACATACAAGACATCCACACTAGGGAGTCTATACCAGCTTTTAAGCTCTGGTATTACAGTGAGAGCTCAGATCATTCATTCCCTTCAGTGTTGACTGTAATCTTGCTTTAGTGATATCTATTATAGAGAGCTCTTAGCTGTTTAGATCAGGGATCGGCAACCTTTGGCACATGGCCCGCCAGGGTAAGCCTCCTGGCGGGCCGGACTGGTTTGTTTACCTGCCGAGTCCGCAGGTTCGGCCGATCGCAGCTTCCACTGGCTGCGGTTCGCCACTCCAGGCCAATGGGGGCTGCAGGAAGCAGTGGCCAGCACATCCCTTGGCCTGGCCCATCAGGGGACTTTACCCTGACGGGTCACGTACCAAAGGTTGCCGATCCCGAGTTTAGATTCTTTGTAAGACAAAAATTTGTTTAAAATTTTGAAAAAAAAAGTTCAGCTGCTGGCACTACTTCTAAAGTTAAATGTTAAGCTCTCACGGTTTTGAAAGTAAAGCTGAGTTATAAAATGAGCTAGATACTGAAGGAAGTAAGGCTGCACGCTATTTATAATAAAAGATAATTTTTGTGAAGTGCCTTTCAAATATCGTTGCAGATAAGTACTATTAGTTTCATATTTAGAGATAAAAGCAATTGAGACAGGGAGGTTTTGTAAGATTGCTTAAGACAATGAGGATGTTGGTGGAATTACTAGCCCATGAATGGGGGTACTTTCCCAGTTAAGAAAGTAAAACAGGAAGTTTTAAAAGTTGTTTATTTGGGAACACTCAGTGAAGGAAGTGTTGATTATCCCGGAAAAGTCCCGTGCACTATGTGCTGCACATTTTTTGTTTTGTTTTTTGTTTATTTTAAATACAGAGTTCAGGATTGTATCTTCCACTTCCTCAAGCATAGGGATCCAGTTCCAGTGAATCTATCTTGGGTATGAGAAGGATGGGGAGTGAAGAGAAGGGACAGTGTTGGTTCATTAGCATTCTTCCTGAACTCCACTGAAGGTCCTCTGGCGGAACTTTACGTAGTCAGGGTTCTAATTGCTTTATAGGAGCTGAAAGAAGTGGATTAGGGGGGACTGCTTCCCTCTGCAGCTGCTGCTGTGTAGCCAGAGGGGGACTTCAGGGGTCAGGATGCCAGGGAGGTCCAGCAAGGCAGTATGGAGGGGCCAGCTTTCCACTTGAATACCTCCCTATCTGTGGATCTAGGGCTTCCCTTTCCAATAAGAACGGCCATACTGGGTCAGACCAAATGTCCATCTAGCCCAGAATCCTGACTTCTGACAGTGGCCAATGCCTGGTGCCCCAGAGGGAATGAACAGAATAGGTATTCATCAAGTGATCCATCCCCTGTCGCCCATTCCCAGCTTCTGGCAAACAGAGGCTAGGGACACCATCCCTGCCCATCCTGGCTAATAGCCATTGATGGATCTATATTCCATGAAGTTAACTAGTTCTTTTTTGAACCCTGTTGTAGTTTTGGCCTTCACAACATCCTATGGCAAAGAGTTCCACAGGTTGACTGTGCGTTGTGTGAAAAAAATACTTCCTTTTGTTTGTTTTAAACCTACTGACTATTAAATTTCATTTGGTGACCCCTAGTTCTTGCGTTATGAGAAGCAGTAAATAATACTTTCTTATTTACTTTCTCCACACCTGTCATGATTTTATAGACCTCTATCATATCCCCCCTTAGTCGTTTTTTTTCTAGGCTGGAAAGTCCCAGTTTTATTCATCTCTCTTTGTATGGAAGCCGTTCCATACCCTTAATCATTTTTGTTGCCCTTTTCTGAACCTTTTCAAATTCCAATATATCTTTTTTGAGATGGGGCGACCAAATCTGCACGCAGTATTCAAGATGTGGGCGTACCATGGATTTATAGAGGTAATATGATATTTTCTGTCTTATTATCTATCCGTTTCTTAATGATTCCTAACATTCTGTTCACTTTTTTGACTGCTGCTGCACATTGAGTGGATGTTTTCAGAGAACTATCGATAATGACTCCAAGATCTCTTTCTTGAGTGGTAACAGCTAATTAGACCCCATCATTTTATATGTATAGTTGGGATTATGTTTTCCAATGTGCATTACTTTGCATTTATCAACATTGAATTTCATCTGTCATTTTGTTGCCCAGTCACCCAGTTTTGAGAGATCCTTTTGTAGCTCTTCGCAGTCTGCCTGGAACTTAACTACCTTGAGTAGTTTTCTTATGATCTGCAAATTTTGCCACCTCACTGTTTACTCCTTTTTCCAGATCATTTATGAATATGTTGAATAGGACTGGACCCAGTAAAGACCCCTTGGGGGACACCACTATTTACCTCTCTCCATTCTGAAAACTTGACTGTTTATTCCTCCCTTTGTTTCCTATCTTTTAACCAGTTACTAATCCATGAGAGTATCTTCCCTCTTATCCCATGACTGCATACTTTGCTTAATAGCCTTTGGTGAGGGACCCTGTCAAATCTGAAAATTTAAATACACTATATCCACTGGATCCCCCTTGTCCACATGCTTGTTGACCCCCTCAAAGAATTCCAGTAAATTGGTGAGGCATGATTTCCCTTTACAAAAACCATGTTGACGATTCCCCAACAAATTATGTTCATCTATGTATCTGACAATTTTGTTCTTTACTGTAGTTTCAACCAGTTTGCCCGCTACTGAAGACAGGCTTACCAGCCTGTAATTGCCGGGGTCTCTGCTGGAGCCCTTTTAAAAAATTGGCGTCACATTAGCTATCCTCCAGTTATTTGGTACAGACGCTGATTTAAATGATAGGTTACAGACGACAGTTAGTAGTCCTGCAATTTCACATTTGAGTTCCTTCAGAACTCTTGGGTGAATACCATCTGGTCCTGGTGACTTATTGCTGTTTAGTTTATCAATTTGTTCCAAAACCTTCTCTAATGACACTTCAATCTGGGACAGTTCCTCAGATTTGTCACCTAAAAAGAATGGCTCAGGTTTGGGAATCTCCCTCACATCCTCAACCATGAAGACCAGTGCAAAGAATTCATTTAGTTTCTCCGCAATGGCCTTATCATCCTTGAGTGCTCCTTTAGCATCTTGATCGTCCAGTGGCCCCACTGGTTGTTTAGCAGGCTTCCTGCTTCTGATGTACTTAAATTTTTTTTGCTATTACTTTTTGAGTCTTTGGCTAGCTGCCCTTCAAATTATTTTTTGGCCTTCGTAATTATATTTTTACACTTCATTTGCCAGAGTTTATGCTCCTTTTTATCTTCCTCACTAGGATTTAACTTCACTTTTTAAAGGATGCCTTTTTGCATCTCACTGCTTCTTTTACTTCGTTGTTTAGCTATGGTGGCTCTTTTTTGGTTCTCTTACTATGTTTTTTAATTTAGGGTATACATTTAAGTTGAGCCTCTATTACGGTGTTTTTAAAAGTTTCCATGCAGCTTGCAGGGATTTTACTTTTGGTGCTGTATCTTTTAATTTCTGTTTAACTAACCTCCACATTTTTGTGTAGTTCCCCTTTCTGAAATTCAGCGCTACAGTGTTGGGCTGCTGTGATGTTTTCCCACCACAGGAATGTTAAATTTAATTATATTATGGTCACCATTACCAAGCGGTCCAACTATATTCACCTCTTGGATCTGATCCTGTGCTCCACTTAGGACTAAATCAAGAATTGCCTCTCCTCTTTGGGGTTCCAGGTCTAGCTGCTCCAAGAAGCAGTCTTTTAAGGTGTCAAGAAACTTTATCTCTGCATCCCTTCCTGAGGTGATATGTACCCAGTCAATATGGGGATAGTTGAAATCCCCCATTATTATTGAGTTTTTTATTTTAATAGCCTCTCTAATCTCCCTGAGCATTTTACAGTCTCTATCACCGTCCTTGTGTGGTGGTTGGTATTACACCTCAACCCCGATATAACACTGTCCTCAGGAGCCAAAAAAATCTTATAACACAGTTTCACCTGTAACGTGGTATCGAACTTGCTTTGATCCGCCGGAGTGCGCAGCCCCCCTCCCGCCCAGAGCACTGCTTTACTGCGTTATATTTGAATTCGTGTTATATCGGGTCGCATTATATCGGTGTAGAGGTGTATATCCCTACTGCTATAGTCTTATTAGTCGAGG